TATATATAAAATCACTGTCATTATCTTTTAGTCTTTTTTCAGACAAGGTCTCGGGCTGGGCTTGAGCTCATTTTGTAGCCTAGGCTGGCCTCAAACTTGCAACAATCTTCCTACCTCAGCTTCCTGAGTGCTGGACTTCCAGATGTGCACCACCATGCCTGGCCTAAGACTAAATATGTTAATGTGACTTTTCCACTATTCTTTTTAAAATGGTACTTGGGGGACACAATCTAGGACCTCACACACGCTGGGCAAATGCTCTACCACTGAGCTATATATATCCTCAGCACTCTTGTACTGCTCTTACCAAGTAGTTTTCTACTATGCATTTCAAATTTGAAGCAAGCTTCTTACGGTTTGGAAAAATAAAGCAGTCTATCAAGAACCAAACCACAAGTTAGTGTAATAGAAATAAAAATCCAAAACAATGTACCAATCACTGGCAGAGCCACGGACTATTTTCTTTGTGTGAAATCCTGTAGTAAAGAGGAATCTAGCAGCAAGTTGAATACTAATCATAGTGATTTCTTCTGCTTCAGGCAATAGGTGATCTTGCCCTATAAATAAAATGTACATGTAAAAAATCACAATTTCTATTTTTAAAAAATTTACATTTTGAGGAGTCCTAAAGTTTAAAATATCCCTTGTTGGACTATAACTTTCCTTTCAGTTCACTAAAAGCACATTTGAAACTAATGCATTCACAAAATTGCTAAACAAAAGCTTTGTCTCCAAACAGTAAGTCAATATATATTTTGTTGAAAGCTAACGTTCAGCTAAAATATCTTCTTTTTGTTTTTCTGTGACAGAGTCTCACTCTGTAGTACAGGGTGGCCTTGAAATCACAGTAATACTCCTGCCTCAGCTTCCCAGGTGGCATGTCCTACCACACCTGGCTTTAAATGTGATTTTAAATAAAAGCAAAAATTTGGATCTATTTAGTGAAAATGTAATTTTATAAACTTAAACATGCAGATGTCTACTATGAAATCCCACAAGTATCATTCTTTATTACTAGGAAGCTAAACTCCTGACACTTACCTGGAGGAGGGTTTAAGTAAACACCATTACACGTAAGCAGTTTTTTCATAAACTGGAAATACTCCAGACTGTACTGCATTCGGTTGTGCATAAATTGGACATTCTGTTTCCGTACACTTCTCTCAATGGCCGATGGCATAACAATCTGATGGGGCCTTGTGGTGACAGCAAGCTCTGATATGTATTTTACCAACTCATTGTCTTGTTCTATTGTGTCCATTCGTTCATAAAATAGTATATAAGCATTCCACCACCTTTTCTGGCGCCTATATGACATGCGCTTCATCATGTGATCAAACACTTCTCCCATGTACTCTCCACCAAAACACTGGTTTTTCATTTCTTCATCATCATCCATTTTACACTCTGTTACATCTCCATCATCAAATTTATACCAGCGATTTCTCTCACCATCTCCACCATTCCTCTGAATGATGTAAGAGTAATAGTGTCCTCCACTTGCTTGACCACTGTGTACAAGCACACCCACAAGTCTATACTTTGTGCTTCCTGCTGCCTCACTTTCAGACTGTTCATTCTGTTGTATCAACTGACTCTCAGGGTTTACATTATCTCCTTCCAGCTTAGCAACTCCTGCAACTGTGTAAGGTTCCATGTCCAGCTCTCGAGGAAATTCAAAATAATCGTTGAACTTGATTGCACATTCTCTTTCCCAGTCATAGTCAAAACGTTTTAGTTGAATAGCAAGAACAGGAGGTAATTTTTTAATTAGCAAGCGCTTTACGGTATCAACCTAAAACGAACAAAGTTATTGGACGTTTTCTTATGACCAATGATGTACCAACATAGAAGCAAACAAAAAGTACAACCCACCTCCCTAAAGATCCAAGGACACTTTTTATTAAAAGGAGTAACAGGGAAGAAAGGGCCTGAGTTACTTGTTAAAAACTGCATAAATTAGTGACATGTAGACATCATTTGCTGCCTAGTTTCTGTATTTATTATCATTGCTACTACTCAGGTCATTATTACTTGTTTTATGCAGAAACTGAAGGCATACTATAACAATAGGAACTAGTATTTACTGGGCAATTAGATGCCAGGTAATATTCTAAGTGCTGCATAAGGAATTATGTACGTAACCCTTATAGCCCTTGCAAGGTACTACTGAACTATAAAGATGAAGATTAGCAATATCAGAGAAAGAATTTGATTCCAGTCTGAAAAGTTGTGGGTGCCAGACAGAACGGCCTTAGCAACAGTCTCAATCTAGGGGTTGGTAAGATATAGCTCAGTGGCACAGTGCCTGCTTGGCAGCACAAGGTCTGGAGTTCAATTCCCAGTACAAAAAAAAAAAAAAAAAAAGAAAGTCTTAGTCTCTAGATGGTAATCACTTTTAGTGTTGCACAAAGTCAAAATAAGGTGACTTGTAAGTCAGAGGGCTTCAGAGCCCATAAAAATACATATTCGTTACCATGTATGTGTGTGTAAATCTTCTCTCCTGACGAGCTCCTCCTAAGTTCTCAAGAGTTTGTACAAACTAGGTAGGCTACAAATTTGACTCAAGTCGTTTGAAAACACAGGTGAGCATTAATTGTAGACTACAGAGGAGAAATGTTTTCCCATATTAGCTCGGTAGTTTTTTTGGGGGGGGGGATTAATAGTCTCTTGGCAGAAAAAAAAAGTATCTGTAATTCTTAGGACATTGTGACTTCTAAGATGATTTACTCAATTTACCTATTCTCCCTAGTGTCTGTTATACTTTTAAAACTTCTTTCCCTGATAAGCCTTTAAATCAACTATCTTAATCCACCAGTGCTGTATCAAATAAGGTAGAACAGTAAAAAAAATTTTCCTTTGGTAGTACTGGGCTTGAAACCAGGGTTTTGCACTGAGCTACATTTCTAGCCTACATTTTTATTTAAAAATGAGCAAAATGGCTGAGTGTGGTGGTGCATGCCTGTAATCCCAGCACTAAGGAGGCTGAGGCTGGAGGATAGCTGTGAGTTTGAGGCCAGCCTGGGTTACAAAGTGAGTTTAAGGACAGTTCAAGTACACAGCAAGACCTTGCCTCAAAAAACCAAAAACAACTAAAGAATGAAAAACCCACTTCCTTAAATTCCATTGAATCTTGTAGATATTTTAAACATTGAACAGTTCATACCTTTTTATTGCATTTTTCACAATGATATGCATTTGCACCTTCCAATAAATCTCCTTTGACATACTGCTCCAAAGAATCAAGAAGGTTTTGGTGGTTTCTAATGTCTACATTCAGAGTCGTGAAAGATTCTTCACATTCGTACCTGAAATTAAGAAATAATCAAAAAGATTCAGTAGTTTTCTACACATTTTCTTTAGTTCTAGATGTACTGAAAGTTATATTTCAGCGTTTATTTTATGAAATCCTAAAGACACAGAATGTACCAATACTGGCAAGTTAACAGTGGTCGGTTATTTACTATGTGTTGGTTCCTCATTAAGTTGGTTACACACTATATACAGCGATACCTCAGTTCATGTCTCTCCACTGGGTGAAAAACACAACTTTGGCCATTTTTCTCATATTAAAAACTGTGACCATCTTTTCCAAAATCATTAAAAATTAAATCTGTGAACCAAGTTAACACCTGTACAAGGTTCTCTGCCTTCATGATAAACATGATAGAGAACTACCACTTTACAGAGTTGAAAAAAAAACAAGTTCAGAAAGGTTAACATGGCTAAGATAACTAGGTGAAGTGGTTTTTTTAAAGTCAAGTGTGTCTGAACTCATAGATTAAGCTTTTTACAACTTACCATGCTGCTTTGAGTGAATTTGTGTGGATGGTAATTATGAGCCTTATTAGCTGTGGCAACTATGAGATTCTGCTGTTGTAGTAAAAGCAGCTAGACAGTACACAACTGACTGAGCATGTTCCAATAAAATTACACAGAAACGGGTGACAGGCTGGATATAGCCTATGCTTTATAGTTTGTTGATTTTTGCTCTACACAAGTAAAGTCCTTGGGCTGGTGAGATGGCTCAGTGGTCTAAAGCACCTACTTAGAACAAGCTTAGCAAAGCATAGGGACCGCGGTTCAATCCCCCAGCACCACATGCCAGCCAGCCC